CGTTGCTTTGCAAAAAGCCAATTGACTTGTGAATGCTATCTCAATGCATTCATAATTCTAACAGCAATTTCAAATGGCGCCCAAAGCGTTTCTGGCAACATTCAAAGAGAGTGAAAGATGGAGAGAGAGTGAGAGAGAGAGAGAGAGAGAGGGATAGCCTGAGTAGTTGGCATGCAAATTCGTTGCCAAGTTGCCTGGCGGCGCTCAGTCGATTGGCTTCAATTTATTTTACGAGCATCCAATGTGTTAATTTTCTCTGCCCGACATTTACAATTAATTGCAATCGATGCTCAGCACACACACACACACACACACACATATACGCGCACACACACTTGCACACTCAGCTTATCTGAGCTGCATGTCAACGTAGTTGTTGCGCTCTCTGTCCACGCATATTAAATTGTTTGGGCTTATTGAACTATTTGATTTCGGTCGACTGTTTGTCACGCAGTCAGCGCCTTTCAATGGTGCCACGCCCACTGCCCGAACTGAGTGCACATGCTCTTCATTTGGAATTGATGTATTTACATCCGTTTGTAATTTCCTACGTGCGCTCGACTATATTTTACCCAAAATTTGCCAAACACTGCAGCCAGTGAACCAAGCATTCAAACACACACACACCCACACACCCACACACACACACACATCATACACTTGTGTGGGCGCTTAGTCTTTGCTGTATATGTATATCCATGACTATATCATCTCTGACTGCAGGTTGTATTGCTTTAATTTCGCCATCATTCCACCTGAGCTCAGCTGCATGCAAATTTTATTTACATCCTCCCCCCCGCCCCTGCTTCGTACTGCTCTGTCAATATTATTGATCAGGCGTCAAATCTTGCCAGCAAATTGTGGCACATTCCCATCGGGAGTTGCACAGAGCACTTAGTTCGTGTGTGTGTGTGGGTGTGGGTGTGGGTGTGTGTGTGTGTGAGTCCTCCAGACATGCAGAGGTTATTCGGTGCGGAAGTGCGGAGCTGTCATTGTGTGTGTCTGCAGAACAATTAACATAAGCTAGTGGCAAACAAGTCAAAATTGTCAGGTGTGGAGTCTTAGACTGTAGTTGATCGACTAGCAGATACTCTGTAATGTGAAGTGGACTCTAAAGAGAAAGAAACCTACTTAATACAGAGATCTCTATCGAGTTCAAGTGTAATGCAAATGATATACAGATCAATAATAGTGGATAAACTAGCAGATACCCTACAAGTAACAAATTGGGAGGATTGCGAATTTTAGAATATAGATTCAATACAATTTAAACTCTGCATTTACAAGTTACACTTGATGATCGACCAATAGATACCCTGCAAATACTAAGTAGTCTATATATGAAGTGAGAGACTAAAGTAAAAGTGAAATTAATTTAGACTCTAATTGAAATAAATTCAACCGTAGTCAATTGAGGATCTGCGCCCATTGCTGATCGACTAGATGTTACCTTGAGAGTGTCTTATGCAAAATTAATTTCAATTCAATTGGGTTCATGTCTTAGCTCAATTGATGAGAAGCCGAGAAACTAGTTGAACAAGTAATTTTATATCAATTTCAATTAAAATGTTGACTCATTAAGCTGTAAATTGTATTGAGACCTAGTGACAAATCTATAATTATGAATATCCGAAATATTCGACTTTCCTATACCCTGCTCAGATCTGTTTCTCTTAAAACTCCTTAAAAGAATGCATTTACTCCGCAGGAAAAATATTTCTTAAGAAGGAAAAACAAAAATTAATTTTAGGGTTTTTTTTTATCAACTCGGAAAAGGCTCCAGAGCAATTGGCCAGTTGTAGTTAAATAGAGTTTCGTATTTTTTTGCTCTATTAATTTTTGTTGGCCATAGTTGGAAGGCCTAAAGGCTCGGCGTTTCCCATAAAATTTAATTGAGAGTCAAGCGAAGCAAAACACTGAATAGAAAATAAACTGGCACACGACAAAGCACTTCCGCACGCACACACACACAGATGCAGAGGGAGAGAGATAGA